GTTGATCATGTGTGATAGATGTTGAACTCATACAAGCAAATATGCTGTTATAATCAAGTGAGGATCTTTCAGATCTATTTACAATATTATATGCATTGTAATCAGCTGTTTATGACATTGTAAAATCATATAAACAAGACGGGTTTAAATCTTTACTTAACTCCAAAGAAACTCATCAAGATAAGTGTATGAGATAGAGAATGCTTACATTGAAAAACAATCACGCCATGAAACTAAATGGCGACAGCGCCGGGTGATTATATAATGTCTTCTTTATTTTATGATAATTTGGTAAATATTCAAGGTATCAAGCTAAAATTTTCAACATGTCTTTAATTTTTGTTGTTTTATGTTCATTAAAAATTTTGTTAGCATAGATTCCCAACCTTTCGGCTTGAGCATCACTGAAGAGACATAATTTGTCGAAATGCGCATCTGGTGCATCAAAATTGGTACCGTATATGATTTACATTGTATTAATTTTATCGCATCAGTCCACGAACTTTTCGAATAACCCTCGTAAATGCTTTTTTATATTAAAATGTTACCAACTTAATGTTATAAGGAAGTCAATGACAATAAGATAAGAAACATGTCTGTTAATATTCTCGGAATACCTCTTATATCCAAAAGATTCTACGACAACTCAATTTAAATTAAAAAAAAAATGATTCTACATACATCTGAAGAGTTCATCACTCCAATACTGCTTGTCTGGACATCCATTTCTAAATTGTTTACAGCTGTAGGCTTCCACAAGAGAACTGGACCTCTTCAGTATCAAACAGATACCTACATTAAAATCGCCATTTAAGAAATCATAATACTTTAAGTACGTGTATGAAATATACATTTATGAAATGTCGTGTAACAATGTCATGAAAAATCACTTCATGATTTCGTGCTTAGACTGCAAACAATGTTAAGTGCTTAATAATAAATACAGGTGACTCTCGATCTCTCGAAGTTCAAGGGACCATAAGAAAAGTTCGAGAGATCGGGGGTTCGAGAGATGGAAAGTGAATAAAATCCGCAATTTTCAGTTCCGATCATCATTGTTCTACTATCATACATACCGGATGTATATGTTGATAATGTCATTACACGTTTTCATTCGTATTTTACAGGTAATTCACTTGATTTCAACAACAATGATCTTGTTTTGAATAAATAAAATGATTAAGTTTCAATATTTATTTGTTCTCATTTCATGATTACATGAAACCTGAATAGCAATTTTCGATTTTGCTAACCCCCCGGCGCGGGCATGATCGGTCCCTCACAAGATTGCTCGGTATACAATTCTTGAGATAGGATTTCTTGTGCAATGTTTGCCAAACTGGGATTGTGTAGACCCTAATAATATTAAAGTTTATAATCTATGGAAAATTCCTGATACGTCCCTAAATTATTTTCTCAAAATTATCGTCTCGTTCAGTCAAAATAAGTTGTGAAGCGATTTGTTTATAATTTACCAATTAACCAATTAATTATATCAACACTCGGACGACTCACAGGTGTAGTATCATCTATGTAAACACCCAATTAATTTTATGCTTGATTGACGTGTATACATGCGCAATCAAAACTTCGAGAGATAGAGAGTAAAAAACAATGAAATATGTGTAACGGGACCCAGGTCTTGGTTCGAGAGATAGAGAACTTCGAGAGATCGGAAGTTTGAGAGATCAAGAGTAAATTTGCTTAGTTATATAGATGAAAAAAAAAAAAAAACAGGACCGGAGGTTCACTTCGAGAGATCGAGAACTTCGAGAGATCGGAGTTCGAGCCATCGAGAGTCACCTGTAAGTCTATTTTGACAATTCAGCAATCAATTATATCATTGTTTTACTCTTTTCAATTGGAATCCTTGGATATCTGTAACAAAACTCCAACAGTTCTGTAATGTTCTCGTTAGGTATACACATGTAGCCATTACTGTCTGTACAATTTAGGTCAGAGGACCTATTTTTCCATTCTGATTGGCTCCTGGGACAAGAGGCTGTAGTATACACGGGGAATGAATAGCTGTCCAGCTTACCCTTTGAATTAGAAATGGAGTTGAATAATATTTGATCCAGTCTTATGTTTAGCATTATCATATTTAAGGAAATATATATCACACACATTCTTGTCATATATTTGTGCAAACTTCCATCGGTATACACAAAAAAATGGATGATGAGGGATCAACAAAATAATTAGTCTTAATTGTACCCATTATAATGTACATGTTGATCTAAACTTGCTACATGTATACTTACATACACTCCCATATGTCATTTCCACTATGCCGAATAATAAAAGAAATAGTACTTTAGCAGTTTTATATTCACAGTGGTCTTCTTGGTCTTTGAAGAACTATTTTAATATTGTATTCAATTGACCTATCAATTACGGTGTACATTATTTACAATTAATTAATAGGTGAATAGCCAAGGGGAATGACTTCCTTCGTTTGTACAGATTTTCTTACAAGATCATCAGAGTCCTGCTAAGCACCAGAACTTTCGATAGAGTGGTCCAGAATTACACAAGTCGGGTAAAAATACCTTTGATCATTACAGCATTATACTCTGTTCGTGTGATGCCCAGGAGCAGAGAAGATTTTGAAAGTACTAATGCATTCTCACTATATAATCAATAGAATTCTGCCTTAACACCAGAACCCCTGCCGCAGGGGTCATGAATTTTACAATTTTGGGAAAAATACACTTGCTCATTATAGCCTTGCACTAAGTTTGTCTTAAAAATGTAGAGGAGAGAGAAGCTTTTTAAATCATTATTGCATTTTCACTATAAGCTTTATAAAACCGCACCCTTACTCAAAACCCCTAATCCTGGGGTCATGAATTTCACAATTTTGGAGAAGTTTTCCTTTTTTGTTATAATCATGCCAACAAATTAATAGCTTTATGTCCAGCAGCAGAAAAGAATTTTTTGAAAATTGCATCATTTTTTCATGTTCTGGTCCCATCCCTCAGGCCCCAGGGGACAAGGACCATAAATTTTTCAATATTTGCCCCCATTTTTCCTATAGATACCCTAAACCAGAATTAGTTGAAATGGGTTTAGCGGTTTATGAGAAAAAGCTGAAAATTTCAAAAGTCTAACAAAGCACGACGAGGGACAGAAACAGAAAACAAAAGACCAACCGAGTGACCTAAGGGATCTAGGAATCTTGTTATGAACAGCATGACCCCCCTGTAGTCATATTAGTAGTATGTCAGAATCTTCGTGTAGTTTAAAATTAGGTTTGGATTGATCAAATTTTGACCCCTTGGGTTTAGTATGGGCTATAGTCGGGGTCTATATTTGACCTAAAAGTATACAGGAAGTAAATCTTTCAAATATGCGTATCAAAAACATCTGGAGAAAATAAGTTATATTGATATGCAAGCATCTGTATTCCCTTGTTTAAATCATGGCACAAGAAGGGCGGTGCTAGGGTTTCAAAGCTTTAGGCGGAAATATAAGCTAAAAAAAATCTATTAAAAAGCTTCGCTTAAAGAACAGCAGGCATAAAATTACGGTAGTCATATTGATATGCAATTATTTCTTAAAGTGAACATTCATTTTCTCCTGAAAAACAGCAGGAAAACAATAATCTTGATATGTAAGCATTCTCAGGAATGAAACTGAAGCTAACGAACAGTTACCATGCTCAAAGTCCATTCAAACTGTATAAATTGTGAGCAGAGCAAAAACGGATATCTCTGAAAATAGAGTTAGTATCATATGCCATGGAGGAGTGAGCAACCTTTGTCGACCAGTCACATCCGCCCTGTACTTTTTTCATGATTGGGTAAACGTAAAAATCGGTAGACAATTCAGTGTGAAAATAATGATGTACCAATATGAAGATGAAAGACGTCGGTCAACATTCGACTTAATGATATACTGTATGCAGGGAAATTTTTGCTCCCGTTTTATTTTCGCCCCTTTGGCCCTCGTCTGAAGTGGGCGAATTTTAAACGGAGCGAATTCAAAGTAAACAGTATAATATCTTTAACAAAACCGTTTCTGGGCGAATTTAAAACGGGGAAAATTGTTTGCAAATGTGAAAGGGCGAAATCAACACGGGGCGAAAATAACCCTGTATACAGTATTGTATTTGCAAACAAGGTCATTCTTTTGACCATAAAATTTGTTAAGTGTTGATTTTCAACGAGATTCTTAATATCCTTGTATCATCAACATATTTGTCCGTAGCTTGGCTCGTTTTAGAAATTGATATTACGTAAAACATGCTTTTGCGCATCGAAGTTTTGTATCAACTTATTTGAATTGTTACCGCAGGTTAAGGTGATGCCAAAATCATCTTTTTTAGGAACATCATAGGAACGGTTAGTCATATTAACATTCTTTGAACAGCACGGTCATAATTTATCAAATAGTTAATTTCAGTGACATATGAATATGAACATGCAGTTATCAAACTCAAAAGTCCTAAAGCAGAGGTGGAATCAGGTTCATGGAGGAACAAGCTTAAGCATCTCCTGTCGACCGGTCACATCAGCCGTGTGCCCCTACATGTAGGATACATAGTTTTAGCGATGGAGCGATGGACAGGGCAAATGCAGAACACAGTTTAATACAGAAATACATTGATATAAACGAAACAAGATGGCCAATTTTGTTAAGTTAAAATTACATCCCCATGCTATAAATTTACCGTAAATGTATTTAGTTTATTGTGGGTAAAATGATATGATTTATGACATTATTGTAAAGAAGTTTACTTTTTTATAAACCTATACTGATATTATTCATCGATTTATTTACAGGTTGATATTGATTCCGATATGATACTTAATGAATAATATTAAATACCAATTGAACCTGTCGATCTCTGCATTCTCTGTACACTTTATAGACTCCTGTTACAATAGCAAATTACAACAATATAACATCTAGGCCGTAAAGTTTCAACAAAGTTTTATAGACATTTGTTGTTTAAGTAATTACTTTCAAATAAAGTATCCATAATATAAACTTACACATCTTACTACCCAGCATATCAGTACTGTCAGCAAAATCCAAAAATAAACATTTATCGTACTACGTTCCATGGATATGATGGGTAGTTGTCCTTTCCTCCTGTCATAACAAAATTTTTGTTCATTCTTTGCCACTAAAAAGCTTTAGAAATAGTCAAAAATGCCCCAAAACCAGGCAGACTTTGTACAACAGAAAACTAATATGGCGGATTCACAACCAAATGCCGCAGCACACATGTCCTTGAATTGCTTCACCAGTTACTGTGCACATTTTAAGAAATTCAGATAACAACTCAAATTCAGGTGACATAAATGAGACCTTGTTTGGAGCAGAGTAAAATTATAAAATCAGATTTTTCAGTAGTGTTTATTAATTCAGTTTTCAAGCTTAGAATATGCACAGAAAAATATACCGAAAGAGGAAGTAATTTGCCTCATTTACAATAGCTTATCTGAGGAGTGACATCAGACTATTGATTACCCGAGACCTGCTGATATTATTTTTTTAAATAGCTACTTCTGTATAGATTTAAAAAAATAACACTCGATATCTTACATATTTGGGCAGATGTCATTTTTTTTTATTTACCGGGTGGCAGTAAATACAAACTTTAAAGTATGACAGAGAGCTCGATTCACACAGATTCCAATCAATACCTTTACAATGCCGTTTTAAAAAGGCATTGAATCGAAATGCTCTTGATACCATTCATAGGTACTCGAGAGTAACGGAAGTTTATATTCCTCATATTTCATGTAGTTTACGATCCAATACCAGAGATAGCATAACATATAAATGAATAATTTTGGCAAAAACATTAAGTATTTTTAGATTTAATACACGCCTGTTACGACCATGTACAGCAAATCCGCAATAAAGGATCAGTTATGTAAGAATACACTGAAAAAACTAAAATTTTCTAAACGCATACATACACACACACCATGCCCCGGGATGATGAAACATATTAAGCTTAAATCAAAATGTGTATATTGCTCTGAAATACAGAAAACAACCAGTCCAAAAACTAAAAAATGTTATTCAGAAGTGTATTTATCTAACAAACTGCTGTTGTCAGCAAATGAAGGGTTTAATTTCACAATTCACATCATTCAAATAATTTAAATTTTGACTGATTCATGATCCTGGGGCAAAGGCCGTGTTTAGCATATATTAATTTAATTATAATATTGAAATATTTTATGCAGATATAGTGCACATTCAATTGTGTTCAAATTGTCCGCAATGCGGCGGTTGGGAAGGGGGGGGGGGGGGTAATGTTGGGCCACAGTAGAGTATCAAAGTATTCCATGTACCCCGGGGGCACATTTCGGAACAAAAAATGCTGTCCACCTCATTTCCCTCACCATTGACACTGGACTATTTTGGTTTTCTGTAATTTGCACTCTACATAATCAAAAATGTCTTAAGTAGGCCAGTATTTGCAAAATGAGATCTCATTTGAACTGCGCAATTGTTGTGATTTCTAACATTAATTATCAGATGTTAATTAAACATTCTGTCAAAGGCTCTTTGCATTTTTTTTTAACTTTTCTAAAATGTTAAGGGAAAAAAAATGAAAAATAAAACATATTTTCCTTACTGACAGAATCAAAACACATTCCTAACCTTATCGGGCAAGATAACCAGCAAATGATAAGAGAGAGGGACCTGAACGAAAACCCTTCCTGTTTTTATGTAAATGAAACTCTCATGGACAATTTTTAATTACCAACGATTGCTTTTACTCTAAGGGCATGTTTTCCAGGATCTCATCCTTTTTATCCATAATACACGGATTTTCCATTTGTGTAAACCAGTCAAATTTCAAAAAATTTAAAATGTTAATTTTTTTTCTTCGATAGTCACAAATGTAAATATAAGTAATAGGTATCATTCGGGCTTTATGGAGTTTGACCAACCCGTATTTATATCCCGATAGATGTTTAAAAATGATACCTTATTTCTTAAATTATATACGTGTAGGGCCTGACTGTTGAATAGGGATCATCCGCTTTCGCTTTCACTAATCACTGTTCTGTGCTATCAAAAGAATTTGTCTCTAAAATATGTTATTTTAAATATAAAGCCTTTTTTTCAACAAGCTGCCCCTTGTGCAACCTTCTCGCATTCTTGACAGTTTTCTATAGATCATCATGTTATATACAGTAGAGTTAATTTATACATAATCACTTTACGAAAAAATGAAATACCTCAATAGCTGCTCGAGGAAATCTTTCATTAGTCAGAACTAAATTCGGCAATAGTTCAATACACTGAAGGCTATATCTCGACTACGTCGTATTTCTAATTATGAAATTTTCTAAACATTCCGGTGAGGACGCTGAGAACGCAGGAACATATTTTCTTCCCAAAGCAAGTCGGCGATCCGTTTACTCTAGGTCTATGACGTAACTAATCGTTCAATACAACGCCAAGATATTGAAAGCTGAAATTTTCTAGACTTTTAGTAGTTTTTTTTCCTTATAGACTATTCATTATTATATAATAATATATTTCTCAACTGCTTGTGTTAAGAGTTTTAAAAATGCCTATTTGCTTCTTTGTCCATTTTCTTAAATTAGATGAAAAATGCTACAGTCTAATAAAACACCAAAAAAATAATCAATATCTTTATTCCTAGACTGTAAAACTTTCATCTTTGTGAGATATGACACTCTACAATTTGTTGCTGAGATATTAAAATTAAAATAAAAATATTATATTATACAACATCAAATTCATTTTTAACAAACTAATTTTTAAAGTAATGGTTAGCCGAGAAAAACTATTTTAATTTGACAGATGCTATCACTTACAATTAAAAGGCCAGATTCTTCTGCCCACACCCCATGCGGTATACGTAATATCTGCTTGATCAGAGATGCTCTCCAGAAATCATCTTCACTAAATTTTTTAATTAATCTCTAATTAATTAATAATTATTAACTAATTTGACAGATGCAATAGATGCGCCTTAGCTTGAAACATCTTTTTTTTTATAATTACACTTATTGAGCAACTGAAATTTCTCTTGTTATTGACACAAGGAAATTATTTACTGTACTGTTATACATTGCTGTATACCCTATTAGCGAATTAATTTTTTTCTTGATATAACAATTTTCTACAAGGTTACTGCATTTCTTACACCTATTGAGATGACGTAACTTAAAAGAGTAGTTTTTTTTTTTTTTAATTTCACCTTAAAGGACACAATGACCTTTAAGAACAATGCAATACATTTTCTACCTTAGATGCATCAATTGATAAAGTTTAATGATTCTAGGTCTAATAGTTTTCTAGTTATTAGACAGGATTTTGCCATATTTGCCATATCATCTTTTAATGTGCCAAACACTTTCTACCCAAGATGTATCAGCTGAAAAAGATTGATTATTCTAGGCCTTATATTAGTAGTATTTTAGTTATGAGCAAGACACGAAAAAACTAACAGACAGACAGACGGACGGACATGTACCTAAACCATAATATGTATCGTCTTGAGACGGGGGGGTGTATGAAAATACAGGATAAACGTCAACATACAGTATAAAGCGAAGTCCTAGGGAGACCTATAACCTCGCTATATGTGTAATTCGTTATAACCATAACCAGTTCGTTGAAATATAAAGCGAATTCTCAATATACAAGTTTAACTTCAAGTATGAGTACCAAATGTTTAGAGAAGTTTCAAATACAAAACTTATACAATGGATTACTTAAGTTTTTCGATGAATTTTAAATACAAATACTTAGGAAAGATTTATCAGTTCAATATTAAATTTTTTAGACCTTTAATTCGTTAAAAAGATTTAAATATCGTTATTTTTTAACATACGAGACACTAAATCACGTTCTGTTATACGTGAATTCGTTATAACAGAGGTCGTTACAGCTGTTAAATTTTTCATGCAATTGCTGGGGATTCCAAAAACCTTCGCTATATCCGGAAATTTGGTATTTCGTGTTCTTACCCTAAATAAATAATATATATAAATACGAAAACTTTAATTCAAGCTGTACGTTGAATCAAAAATACGCATGTAAACATGTCGCGAATAATGGGTTTCAGTAATTCTTGCAGAAGAAGCTCTGCTGCTTATATTAATTATGCAGTTTATCACGTGTTTCCAAATAATTTTTTCTCATACACACAAAAAATAATAGACAATACATAATTATAATCCTTATATAAGTATGTGCAAGAATATTTGCCCAGATCATATAAATAAGTTTAGAGTTTGTTGTTTCTAAAATACCAAGATTTGACAATGAAATCTTACAAAAGCTATCATAAGCGACCATAAACTAGTCAGACGTAGTGTAGGGTATAGTCCTAAAATAATGTCAGGCATTTAATCGCAGGCTATACTAGTGTGTGAAAAATTTACGTTATTTTAAATTGGAAAACTAAAAATGTCACAAATCATATGTTTATCCTAATGAACATGCACCTGTCAGCATGCATTAGAAACTCTAATGAACCAGATTAAAGAAAATCAGTTTTCCAGCGCAAACATATCACATACATATAAATATGGAAAATCTTAAAAATCCTTTCTCAAAATCATCATAAAATTTTCGATGCATTAATCTGATGGTCTGCTTTTTCAAAATCATCTTTTATAATTCTTAAATCTTGAATCTCAGATCTTTTATTCTATACTTCTGTAACATACTTGGTTATGTGTGTATTTAGTTCTCTTCACACACAGCTTTTAAACATGACTGACAATTTAAGACAGCACTTTTGTTTTCTTTTTATCACAAAGAGCCATGTGCAATCTAATTTTCTTCTTAAATGGACATTTAATTCTTTGACTCTTTTGATATCTTATTTTTAAATTCAAACTTCTTTTTTTTAATCAGTGTTGTGTTTTCCCCAAATGTGCTGGTTCTCTGTCTTCCTTTGTTTTCACTTTATCATCTTCACACTCTTCCAATGTCAGTGTTCTCCCTCTTCTTTTCTTTTCTTCTTTTTTCTTTTTCTTTACCTTATCTTCCATTGTTGGTACATCTTCCCCATTACTTTTCTCTTTTTTACTTTTCTTCACTTTGTCATTTTCACAGTTTTCCACTGTTAATCCATCATCTGCCTTTCTTTTCTTCTTTTTACTTTTCTTCACTTTGTCCTCTTCACAGTCTTCATTTCTTATTTCATTGTCTGTCTCTTTTATTTTCCTTTTACTTTTTCTTACTTTGTCACTTGCTTCCATTGCTAGTAAATGTTCCCTTTGACTTTCCTCTTTATGAATGTTCTTCACTTTGTCATTTTCATTATCATTTGTGAGCTCACCTTTCCCTTTTATTTTCTTTTTCCTACTTTTTCTCACTTTGACAACATCTCCATCTTCCATTCTCACTTTGCCATCTTCCTTCATTTTCTCTCTCTCACTTCTTTCCTCCTCTAACACTTCCTTTTTTTCTTTCTTTCTTTTCTTCTTTTTCTTTCTATCCATATCTAATTCATTATCATTGTCACTAAATTTTTCTTTATTATAATATCCTTCTTCCACATTTTCATTTTCCATTCCAGAGTCCTCACTTGTCTTCTTCTCTTTGTTTTTCCTTCTTTTAAAATGAGCCACAAAGAACCCATTAGTCAGTGTTCTGTCTGGGCATGCTCGCAGATAATGGTCACTTTTCTGGTAGCCTTCTCTTCCTCTCTCTGGCCAATCTTTCATGACTTTTTGTATTTTAAATCTGAAAATAGGTATCACATATATTACTAATTAGAATGCACTTCATATTGGTACAAATCAGACTTATTTTGAATTGTTTTAACCATAACAAAAACAACTTTTTACATAAATTATTTGTTTATACATGTATAATACACCTGAAAATATGTGAGGAGGAAAATTGATTAAATACACCATCTGACTTATGATTTAGGCAAATTTGAACTGAGATTACATCTATACTTATAAATTAATAAATTTTGCAAATAAACTCCGAAACGGATGCACCAGAGTTTTTACTTACTCCTTTAAGAATACACTAGATACAATATGATGTCCGTAAACTATATTTAGATTTCACTCGCATTGTAAGTATCGTACATTAAATTAAAAGTCTACTTTTATTTTCTATGAAGAGCCATGAAATAGCAAAAACGTGAGTATGGTGGCGTTTCCGGTTGGCGGATCTAAGTTTCTGGCAATTTTCAATTAAACTGACAACAAGCAATCGTTTATTTATTTCATAAAACGTCATCACTGAATTATTCAATCAAAACTTGATTTAAAAGACATAAAAGAAATAAGTTGTGATAACCGATTAAAAAGGGAAATGTGCAAATTATTTTTGTCATTCACCGATCTTAATATTGACGGAAGCTTCTAGAACATCATATAGCATCGAGCCCGATGTTAAAAAGAAAAACGAGACGAACATAAAAAAAGCTTATGTGTGAATGGTCATTGAAATAATGGTAAATCGTTGATAACACTATAAGTTGTGAATATATTTATATATCGAAAGACTGTTACATATATGTAGTAGGTTTTCCTAATAAATGCCTCACCGAGAGCATCGTGGCGACGAACCCGAAGTACAATTTCTACTTCGTAATAAACTTGCTTACATGAAAAGAGAAAATTAATGAATAAGACATTGTTCAAAAACAATTAAAGCTGTAAAATTTTGTGCTTTAATCAATACATTTCAGTTTTTTTTTTCTGAATACAGTCTTTTGTATCAAATACTCGGCCTATTCATAGGGCGTTAAAAGCTAATTTTTACACAGGTACTTGCGTCTTGGATTATATATATGTAGGTACCTTATTGATATGTAAAAAAAAAAAAAGAAGTAAAGTACATTTTTTACATATCAATAAGGTACATACATATACATAAACCAAGACCCAAGTACCTGTGAATTTTTACCTCCCCCCCCAAAAAAAATCAATTTATCAGTAAAATGTGAATATTCGCTGCTTTTATCCTTGACGGAAATGATATAAGAGCATCTGAAGTACAATATCCATAACATCATGAACATAGTATAACAGGTTTCACAATAAACATCAATTAATGAAATTGTTATTTTTTCAAGTTTTTACGAAAGGGGGGGGGGGGAGCACATGTGGGATTTTGAACAAAGTATTTCTTCCTGCTATAACCCTGTAGGCTGTCAGTAGAAATTAAATACAATATATTTTCTGTCGGTAGTGGTATAAATTCAATTCCCCGCGCTTGCGCGGGATTTCATCTAGTGTATTCTAAATTTAATTATAGATTACAACAGTAGCTGACATGTAATTGTATTAAGCAGGGTTTATTATTCTATGAAGATTCAATCTGGAATGGGAATTAGTGAGTGGAATAACCCTAACCCTTTGTAGCAGTTGATATACAGTAACAATGAGGCTGACCTTTTCCTGAAGTAAAACATGATGGTTGATAAAATACAAGTAACTCTTGGGAATCATGGTAAAATTAAAATCAATGGATTAATATCACTTAGTGACAGGACAGGTGGTCAAGTTGACAGTAAATTATTACCAAGTGGCAGGGAAAGGTCTTGAGACAACCAATAGGTGTATACCAAGTGACAGTACAGGTAGTCTAAACAACCAATGGGGTTATATAAAGTGACAGAACAGGTTATCAAGACAACCAATTGGAGTATACCAAGTGACAGGACTGGTATGTATTCTAGACAACCAATTGATGTATACCAAGTGAGAGCACAGGTAGTCTAGACAACCGATGGGTGTATATCAAGTGACAGCACAGGTAGTCTTGACAAACAAGAGGCCCAAGGTCCTTAACGGTCACCTGAGTATAATACAACAATTTAGAAGTTAAATGCACTGACAGATGAAGCTTTGTTGCCCTAAAGCAAGAGAAGTAGGAAGATCAGGATCAACAAAATAATTAGTCTAGTATTCAGTATCAACTCATAACTTAAGTTCTAATCTGTCCCCCAATTAACATTATCACCATGCAGACTATTAACAAACTATTAGTGCTCTGTACTATTTTTAAACCCATATTAAGACCTCTAGCATTGACCTCTCTTATGGTCTTTGAAGAACTTTTAATAAGATAAGTTATTTTTGTCTCATTTTTATTTATCTATTACTTACAGGTCTGCCTGATTATTAAAACTAAGAAAGTAACTTTTGAATTATACGATAAACATTCTTGCATAATTATCTTATTCTATTAATCTTTCAAATACATTATTTACATTGATTAATTATCAAAGGTGAATGGAAAAGGGGAATAACTTCTCTCAGTAGAATACAAATTAATAGAGCCCTGTCCAGGACCAGAATGCTTAACCAAATTGTCCAGATGTTCAAAAAACTGGTAGAAATACGCTTACTTATATCATTTAAACTTTTACTCAGTTTGCTTTCAATATGCCCAGAAGCAGAGAAGAATTTCACAGGTACAATGCATTTTCACTACAGATTCAACAAAGCCTAACCCTAACACCAGAACCCAAGACCAAAGGTCAAGAAATTTACAAATTTGGAAGAGTTACCCTCATCATCATAACTATGGACTTCAAAGAATTAACACTTTCCACTATATTATCAAAAGCCCCCCCCCCCCTTCCTCGTTATGCCAGAACCCCTGACCCTAAGACCACAAGATTTAAAAATTCTGTTCAAAGCTCCCATCTTCATCATAGCTAAGCAATTTATTAATCAGCTCAACACTAAGGAGCAGACAGGATTAGTTAATGATTAATTAATAGAATTAATGCATTTTCACTATGTAATCAATAGAGCCCCCTTCCCCCCCCCCTCCCCCCCCTTCAAGAACCCAAAAAACTGAGGCCATGTATTTCAAAATTTTGGAAGAGGCATCCTTGCCTATCATAATCATGCACTTAGTTTGTTTAAAAAATTTCCAGTAGCAAAGAAGAAGATTTTCCATAGAATCAATGCATTTTCACTATATAATCAATAGAGCCACGCCCTAACACCGGAACCCCTGACCCTGGCCATGAAATTCACAATTTTTAAAAAGGCATCCTTATGCATCACAACCATGCACTTAGTTTGTTTAAATAATCTCCAGTAGCAGAGAAGAAGATTTTCTAAGAATCAATGCATTTTCACCATATAATTAATAAAGCCCCGCCCAAACACCAGAATCCCTGACCCAGGGGCCATGGCTTTCACAATTCTGGAAGGGGCCCACCTCCTCATCATAACTAGGTACTTAGTTTATCTCCTTAATGCCCAGGAGCAGAGGAGAAGATTTTCAAAGAATTAAGGCATTTTCACTATATAGTCAATAGAGCCCCGCCCGAACACCAGAACCCCTGACCATGGGGCCATGAAATTCACAATTTTGGAAGAGGATCTCTAGCTCATCATAACTATGTACTTAGTTACTTAATTTAATACCCAGGAGCAGAGATGATTTTCAGAATTAATGCATTTTCACTATATAGTAGATAGAGCCCCACCCTAACACCAGAACCCCTGACCCTGGGGCCATGAAATTCACAATTCTTGAAAAGGCACTTTTGCTCATCATAACTATGTACTTAGTTACCTTATTTAATACCCAGGAGCAGAGAAGAAGATTTTCAAAGAATAAATGCTTTTTCACTATATAATCTATAGAGTCCTGCCCTAACACCAGAACCCCTGACCCTGGGCCATGAATTTCACAATTTTGGAAGAGGCACTCTTGCTCATCATAACTATGTACTTAATTACTTTATTTAATACCCAGGAGCAGAGGAGAAGATTTTCAAAGAATTAATGCATTTTCCCTATATAATCAATAGAGCCCCGCCCTAACACCAGAACCCCTAACCCCGGGGCCATGAATTTCAAAATTTTGGAAAAGGCACTCTTGCTCATCATAACTATGTACTTAGTTACCTTATTTAATACCCAGGAGCAGAGAAGAAGATTTTCAAAGAAATAATGCACTTTCACTATATCATCTATATAGCCCCACCCTGGGGCCAGAACCCCTGATCCTGGGGCCATGAATTTCACAATTTTGGTAGAGGGCTCAATGTTTATTACAAATGATGCCAACAGTTTGACTGCTTGATGTCCAGGAGTAAAGAAGAAGATTTTTAAAGATTGCATTATTTTTGGTGGTTTTAGCCCCACCCCTCAGGCCCCAGGGGGGGCAGGGACCATGAAATTCACAATTTTTGTTCCCCTTCACCCATAGGTGCTATATCCCAAAATTGGTTGGAATTGGTTGAGCGCTTTCAGAGAAGAAGTTAAAAATGTTCAAATGTTAACGCACGATGAACGCTGACGGACAAGAACGGATAGCAATAGGTCACCTGAGTGACTCAGGTGACCTAAAAATGGGTGTATACTAAGTGACAATACAGGTACACTGTAGTCTAGACAACCAATGGGGTTATACCAAGTGAGAAAACAGGTAGTTTAGACAACTAATGGTGTTATACTACATATGTAAATAATAGTACAGGTAGTCTAGACAACCAATGGATCAATACCAAGTGACAATACTGGTAGCCTAGACAATGAATGGGGTTATACCATGTGACAGGACAGGCAAACTTGACAGTTAATTGGACAATACCAGTATATAAAATCATATTATAAAATCATATTGATTTTATCTTATTGATTGACCAGGTGATGGAATGTGTGGTCAAGACAACCAAAGTGTCAATACCTGGTGACAGAACAGGTAGGTTAGACAGTCAATCAGTCAATGTCCCATCACATGGGGCAAGTTCTGTCAACTTATCCCATGTGATGGGACAAGTTGTCTGAACAGCTGCAGTAAATGGGTCAATGCCAAGTGAAAGGATAAGTGGTCAGGTGACCCTAATGGCCAATACCCAGTGATGGAACAACAGTGGTCAAAACATCCAATGGGTCAATTCCAGGTGATGGAACAGGCAATTAAGACAGTCAACAGATCAGTTCCATGTCACAGGATAGGCAGTCAACACAAATATCAATGTCATAACTGTGGAAAATCTATTATTCTTCATTTGGGTGCAACCATAGAAAAAGTATTGATGTGTATAGCAACTTCAAACTTAATGGTAAATTTTCATAGATATAATATCAAGGTGAAATATGTACATCTGTCAGATATTAGACAAAATTTAATTACAATTCTAGAATCTCTGTTAAAATTTGATAGATGCCTGTAAGAAGATGACCCAACATATAGCACAGCAACTGAAAATCTACACAGTTACCTTTCCTTGAATCTGTTATAGATTTCCTCACAGACTTGTTCATTTTCCTCCTCATGGACAGAACATGTGGAATAAACAATTTTTTTCACATTTGGGAATGAGAAGGCATGTCGTAAAATCTTGGCCTGGAGTTTGTGGAGTTGGTCGAGGCGGTGTTGCGTAGTGGAGGAATCATCATTAGTCAAGTCATCTAGTCTATTTACAATACCTGTAATGAGATAAAACAAAATCTCATTTTTAACAAAAAGCTTATTTTTTCCAGTTCAGAAAAATTTTATATAACATAACTGGATAAATTTGACATCCTGACATCAAGTAAAAATCATTTCAGGAATGAATCTAATAGCTACCCAAGTTATACAGAATATACTGGGTTGGGACAGTTTCGCAGTTTATAAACAAAAGGCCCAAGGGCCTTAACGGTCACCTGAGTACAACAATTTAGAGGATCCATAAACTGATAAATGAAGCTTTGTTGCCCAATAGCAAGGAAAATAGTATGATTAAGATCACAATAGATGTCTCCATTATTTCCTCTCACATTGGCCTCACTTGGCCTTTGAAGAACATTTAAAAAGATAAGTTATTTTTGTTTCATTTTTATTCATCTATTATTTCCAAGTCTACCTGATTATTAAAACTATGAAAGTACTTTTTGCAATATACAATAAATGTTCTTGCATAATTTTCTTATTCTATTAATCTTTCAAATACATTATCTACAGTGATTAATTATCAAAGGTGAATGGCAGAGGGGAATAACTTCACTCAGTAGAATACAAATGAATAGAGCCCTGGCCAGGACCAGAACACTTGACTAAATGGTAGATTTTCAAAACTCTGGTAAAAATAACTTGCTTATTAAAACTTTTACTCTGTTTGCTTCTAATATGCCCAGGAGCAGAGGAGATTTTCTAGAAATAATGCATTTTCACTATTTAACACAGCCCTACCCTAAGACCAGAACCCATGACCTGGGTCATGAAAATTTACAAATTTAGAAGAGGTACCCTCATCATCATAACTATGCATAGTTAGTTTATCTAATACCTAGGAGCAGAGAAAAAGATTTTCAAAGAAATAATGCACTTTCACTATATGATGTATATAGCCCCACCCTAGCACCACAACCCCTGACCCTGGGGCCATGAATTTCACAATTTTGGTAGAGGGCTCATTGCTTATAACAATCATGCCAACAGTTTGACTGCTTGATGTCCAGGAGTAAAGAAGAAGATTTTTAAAGATTGCATTATTTTTGGTGGTTTTAGCCCCACCCCTCAGGCCCCAGGGGGGGCAGGGACCATGAAATTCACAATTTTTGTTCCCCTTCACCCATAGGTGCTATATCCCAAAATTGGTTGGAATTGGTTGAGCGCTTTCAGAGAAGAAGTTAAAAATGTTCAAATGTTAACGCACGATGAACGCCGACGGACAAAAACAGATAGCAATAGGTCACCTGAGTGACTCAGGTAACCTAAAAAGCATAAACTGTTCCAACCCAGGTTATACCGTATAACTTGGGTAGCTAATAAATTCATTCCTTATGATTTAACTTTCCACCATTAAGTGTAGTTAAAAGGACAATTTCCCCTCAAATACGACATTAAATTGTATAAAATTTAAATGTAACGTCAAGTAGGTTAATAGGATTTTGAGGCAAGTCATTGTGACATAAGCAACACAGGTTATATGATATAAACTAATTTTTCAGCCAGTCAAAAAGTGTGTTACAACCAGAATTAAATTATTGTTAATTATTGAGTAATAACTTGGTCTCAAAATCTTTTAAAATCAATCAATTGCATATATTTTCTGATATTCACATATGTTTTTCATTAACTGTGTTATAGCCTTAAGAATTTTTTTAACTTTCTTGATTAAAGACTTCTGCTAAACTACTAAAGAAAACTAAAGATAACAACATTTTACAATTACATATATAGTGATTCCATGATCTACAGATGTATTACTTATGTCTTATGACCTCTGACCTGATCCACTACAGGAAGGGTCCACCATAATATACTTTACATCCTTATAGGCCTGACTGTCTGTCTTTACCCTGAGAAAGTCCATACACCGCGCCACTTTACACGTCACACCAGCTGCCTCCATACGATCCTGAAATATGGCTATCCTCTCTGCCTTGTGTTCGAAGGCATAGATTGTTCTGGAAAAGGAATTACAAATAAGTCATTTTTGCCAAGCACTGATCTTCTACACTCTTTATGCAAGAAGATAAATCAATATTGCTTATTTAAATGTAATCCTTGTAAATGTATTTATACTTGACCTTGAGGTCAATGAGGAAATAGCATCTGTGACTTGAACTTGTGCCAGAGGAGGCCCTTAGGGTTCTGATTTTACCAGCTAAACATAATTTATGAGAGTCAAAATGATATGTTGGAAGAAAAAAAAATAATTTTCCTTCCTTTGTGAAATTTATTATCCAATGTCCTTTTCTAGGGGAGGAGGTAAGAAGGGAGGAGGAGGATTTATCATTTTACTTGGTAGGAAGAGGACCTGTGTTCTACATCCATCCCATTACTTCACTTTGAAAGGGAGTACAAATACAAAATGATAACAAATCAACTGTTTGTTAACACATAGTGACTTCACATGGAGGAGGAGGGGAAAAGAACATACCTTCATCTTACATGTACATATACATTGTAGCATATATTTTAATGAACATACATGCACAAACTATAATCCAGTGAAAACTCACCCATTATTGCCCATTAAACTGGCCAGGTGACTTGTTTTGTTGCCAGGAGCAGCACAGCTATCTACAACAACAGCTCCCTCTGGTGGTGACAAAATGTGAGCAGGGAGACAACTAGCCTAAAATGCAAAACAGTTACATGAAACATCTCTTTAGGCTGAATGTTCAAATGAGGGGTATTTTTTAAAAAAGGAATCAAATATCATTTTTGTACCTTGTCTTGTAAAATGACTTTGCTTTTCTGTACTAAGTGGTGATTATGGAGATCAGTATATGCAGGGAACACCAAAAGATCAGAGAGATGGAAGTCTTTCATAAACTCAGCCTCTCCAAGATTTCTGCAGGCTTCTATAAAACTGAAATTTTACATAATCAACATAATATACATCATTACTACTTATCAATAAATAGTTAGAATACGGTTTTTGTAAGAAATGAAATTCCAGAGAAGAAGTGAGGAGCTTGAACTCATCCTAAACCCCCTTCTCAGGAGCTTGAACCCCATACTCTCCCTCTCTTAATGAGCAGTTGTGAAGGATTTGTACCTGTCAACCTCATCTGGCATAGGAACCAATGTCCATCCATCATCCATAAACACCTTAATTACTTCCTCCATTGTAACTTTGATCAGGTTCACTCGAACATACCTCGGCAGAGCTGAATGTGAAAAACAAACTTATGTAGCACAATAAATTTCATTTCATTTTTTGTGTCACCTGCTGCACATAACGACACTTAGAGATCACTTTGCCTGGCATATGGCTGTTTGTTCATCTATCTGTCTGTCACACTTTATGGCATATGTGTGTCTGTTCATCTATCTGTCTGTCACACCTTATTTCTAAAGAATGGTTAGAGGTTGGGGATTTGATATTTGCACTAGCACTGCTTGAAACAATGGCCATTGTAAATTACCAGGATTATTGATCCAGTGACCTTTGATCTACTTTTCAAAACTACACTGTAGTGCCAATATACACAATTTTTTTTACCTTTAAGAAGTAAAATCTGTGCTTTTAAATGTGCACTTCTGGTAGGAAGACATTTTGAAAAATAACTATATAGTGTTAAAGTCTGCTTGACTTTGACCTACTTATCAAGAATTACAGAACACAGATTCAAACAGACACATTTCCATAAACTGCACACACTTTAGCTTAACTTTAGCTTTAAATATTAGGTCTTTAATGGTGCTGTATAGCAGGGGACACATGCATTTCTTGGAACATGGTAGTATTACATGTACCCAAAGTCACCACCATCAATTGATCAACAGTTACAGGAACTTGAATCCATGTATATATTTTACTAATATGAAGTATGGAACACTTTTTTTCCCTATAATTTCTTAAATGTATAAAAACAATGATTCAGTAACTTACCTAAAGTCTGCCCTTAAAATCAGACAAATCAAAAGGGCACAGCTAAAATGTTGCAATCATCCACCATCAATGCTATAATATGTATGCAACATTCACTGATATAAATGTATGTTACCTTCTGATGTTGAGTAGGGTAAATCTGCATAGTGCTGTACTCCATAGACAGTCAACAGTCTGTCAAATTCACTGGTTATACACTCTCTATTCTTCGCTACCACTACCTACAAAGTATACAGGAACTGACATGAATTCCCACCCTTTAGATATCCTCTACTTTTTCTCAATACAATTTTTTGTCTTAAATGTAAGAAAATTTGTCAATTAATTTTGATCAGACTCTGTCATTTGATCTACAAATCAGGAATTCAGATATCTCTAATTTTTTTAAGTCTTTGTTTAATAAAATATACATGTATCTTACAGATTTAAGTACATGCAAGTTATGATGTCACAGAAACAATCTGATGTTATTTAATGAGAGAAAAGTCTGTGACTTGTATTGGATCAGTAACCTGACAAAAAAGGCATCATTTTACACAAATTTATGTTAAGAGGTTGAACAGCTGTTGCACACTAGCTTTGCACTCATGCAACAATTTGTTGCACAAATTTAGCAGAGTTTTCTATAAAAGGGAAGGTTGCCCACTCAGCCACTTTGGTCCCCTACAGGTGTCCCAGCTTCATCCCACATTAACCCCCCCCCCCCCCCCCTTATGCCCAAAAAGAGAGAGATATCAATTGAAATTCTTAAACTCTTTTATCAATTAAAATGAAGAAGAAAGTTAAGTTTCAAAACTAATGAGAGTGGCTTGATCATTGAGTAAGCCAATAATCATAATATAACTCTTCCCCAAATTTCTACAAAGACCAAATTTATGCAAACCGAGATAACTTCCCTTGATCTCAATAATAATTGATTACAAATAAAATAAGCTTAAGGTTAATGAAATAAAATATTAGAGTTATTATATACACGTAAACATAAATAAAAACCAGAAGTCTCTGATGAGACTGTAGCTCTGCTGGATTGTGCTTAAAACAAAGGAAGAGAAAAGTAGCACATGGACTTGAAACTTTGCAAGAGGAAGTTATATTGAACTACGACCAAAACTGTAGGAGGAGTAAAAGTTTGAAAGTATTTCACAGTAATTCCTATTTTAGTACAGTAACCATGGCAACACTGTTCATCAAAATCATAAACTGATAAAGAGAGTTATGTATCTTAATGCAATCTACTTTTGTGCCAAGTTATATTGAAATCAAGACAAAAATATAGGAGGAGTAGCGTTTTGAAAGTATCTAACAGAAATTTCTATTTTTAGTAACCAGGGCAACACTGTTCAACAAAATCAAAACCAATAAAAAGAAATATGTATCTTAGCATAGTATATGTGTGTGCCAAGTTATATTACTGTAGGCAGAGTAGCATTTTGAAAGTATTTCACAGAAAAACTCTATTTTTAGTAAGCATGGCAACACTGTTCATCGAACTCAAAAACTGATATCAAGAATTATACATCTTAGTGTAGTCTACTTGTGTATGAAGTTATATTGAAATCAGACCAAAACTATAGGAGGAGTAGCATTTTGAAAAATTGTTTTTACAGAACAACAGAAAGACAGACAGACAGCTAGACAGACAACACACACCTTACTATTGCATAAGCTCTTCTGGTCTCTGACCAGTAGAGGTAAAAAATAAAGTACCTTTAATCTTCCTGGTCTAAACAGCCCAGGCCCAATCATGAAATCATACAGTAAAACTCGGGCCAGCATCTCATCATTCCACAATAGCTTATTTTTCTCTAGTAGCTTGGTGCGCTTGACAACTGTTTCCAGGATCTTAGCATATCTAAGTGTCTGATTGACCAATGCTGACAACATCTGCTTGTCCTGTCAAGATCATAACACATAACACATCATTACATTTAAGAAAAGAATTGATTTTTTGAGAATTCATGAGGACATGAATTAAAACACATCATGTAGGGTTGTCCCTAAGACCAAGGGGCCGGGGAATTTCCCCCCTATAATTAATATGTAATCCCCTGGTTATTTTGATATTCCTCCTAAACTCCCAATTAGGAAAGGAACCCTAGATCCCCTTCTACTTTCTAAATGTCCCCTTCTATTTCAATTCTTAGGGACAACCCTGATCATGTTGACATATTTATGAATCACACTGTAATTCATGTACCTCAAGAATTATCAAAAATTAAATTCAATTAAATTAATTTCTTATATTTACATTATTTATCTGATAATTTGACCATGTTGACACAAAATTTGATATTCAACTGTCATTTTTTGAAAAGATTGCACTATATATCTGAAGTCAAGTATAGTTCAATCCACACTCTGTAAATGTTGTGTTCCTTTGTGGGGTCAACCAAAAGGTCAAGAGGGAAAGAAATGACATTTCTCCTCTTTATGCTGCCAATCATTTGGGCATGCTCCAATAAGTCCACTGTGTTTAATTTTTTTCTTTCAATGGGTGCATAGCCCCATCTTGGGGCAAGGCCAAATAAAAAAATATGTGTGGTTCCGGTTACCCGACCTTCCCTATTTTATACCCCCTACCCTAAACTTTTTTTTGGCAATTTTCATATTTTTCCCGGAATTTCCCCCCGATTTCCATCAATGGCTCCACTTTAAGTTTTAGTTTCAGCAATGACGGCCTCCTTGCAAAACATAGTGCAAGTGTTTAATAGTGTTAAATCCAAAGCAAGCTAGCATGTAGGTGTCCCCTACCTATATTGATTAAAATATTATCACACCACATTTAAATGCCATTTGCAAAGCAGTGATAGGTATAATTTAAAAAAAATTAAGAAAATCATTTTGTTAAAAAAAAAAAAAAAAAAAAAAAATCCCTACCTACCTACCCTAATTTTTTTGGAAGTGTAACCGGAACCACACATATTTTTTTGTTTGGCCCAATCACTATACACAATGCAAAATTTTTTTAATTTGTAAAGAATCTTAAGAGAAAATAATTAGAATTGTAAATATTAAGTCATGAACACAACATTAAGCAAAGTTTGAATTCACACACAGGATTTGGTGACAGTCAACAGAAGATGAACAGCTACAAGAACAACCATGCCAAAAGCAACATATCACTTCTCATAGAGAAAACATAAATATCCTTCACTTATTTTTCTCGCATAATCACCAGTGTAAGATTGACCTGTCCGGTGTGAGACAGCAGTGTGAGATTTTTCTGTCTTACACTGTGTATTACTACGCCGCGAACGATAACGTAAACATTCCATCTTTATATAAAGAAATTGTAACAATGTTAAAAAATATTACATATACTTAAAATGTTGTCATTTAACTTATTAAGATAAACTTATTTTCATTCAAAATATTGTCGTATTTTCACTTTTTAAATGGCACTATTTTTAGATCGCGGAAGGATTCTTCTTGAATGAATGTGTACGCTATCGGATAGATAAGTTTTTTAATTCCCAGTTTTTATCTATCTAATTAATTTACATGGACTGAAATTCATTTTATCAGTTTACACTATGTGTAAACCATTTTCAGGTACGCTCTCTCCGTTGGTGTATTTAGATTTTTTATTAGATGGAAAATTAAAAGAATATATTTTTAGCCCTATCATGGCGACGTCATTGACAGGCCATTATTTTGGATAAAATAATGCGAGAATAATAATCATTCATTACATACTCGTATGGGAATAGTGAAATTCCACCTCGGGGCCAAGATTCACGGTCTAGGACTCGGCAAAGCCTCGTCCTAGACCGTGAATCTTGTTCCCTTGGTGGAATTTCACTATCCCACACTTGTAGTAATGAATGATTCTCTCACATTGATCCTGGGCTATAAAAGCTTTAAATCATTCGTTTGTTCGAGTTGACCGTCATTTAATCAATACCTGGAAGGATGATCCATACACACTGGTTTTTATTGATCCTTTTTTGTCGTAGATTTCATGAAGAACCTTTGCTGCCTCTATGTATAGATTGGAATTCTTTTTCTTGTCTTCCACCATCGTTGCAAGCATGGGCAAACTCAAGTAGGATATTTGCAACGCACGATAAAAGCCAAACTAGGTAATGCATGAATTCATATATTCCGGATTTCCGAGAGAAAAATAAAAATGCCTCAGTCATGTTTAAATCTTCGAAGAATTATGTTTCAGACCTTAAATTAGCATCTATATTTGGTCGAGGTGAGGAGGTAAATGGATGATGTTACAAAGAACATGGGCGAATCATATGTAACCGAGGCTTGTCTTCCGGATTGTTAAACGTAAAATAAATTAATAAAATTTTGAATCTACTTTAAATTACACTTAAAAAGTTGTTACAATAAAGATTCTGACACTTTCAGACAAGAAATACTATGTTTAAAAAAAATGCACCACACCTATATATATATATATATATATATATATATATATATATATATATATATATATATATATATATATATATATATATATATATATATATATATATATATATATCGCCAAACCCCCTAACTCTGTCACTACCCTAACTCCGTCACTTTCGGGAAAATCCGCGCTGTTTGTAAATGAATGCGATTGTGACGTCTTTTTTTACATGCTGAATATCTACGATCAAATGCCGAGAAATTTTTACAGAGAAGTTCAAGAATGCGTCAAAAATAAATAACAATAACACGTGACCTATTGTATCTATCCTTTAAGCGCTATATTCCATCGATACCTCCGACATGTGCGTCAATATGCTCATTTTTAAATGTCAGTCATATTCATGAAGGTCTTTGCCAAAGGATTAATATGACATACCATATTGAATAGGGCTAAAAATATTTTATTTTTCGTCTCAATTTGCCCTTATACGCTACACGTTGGAGATAACGTAACGTGACGTTATTACATATAAAATTCGTTATTATATTAACGTTATTTTTTCTGTTGTTAATATACTTTCCCTAAAATACAATTTGATACTATTTTAAATCTTCAAAATTAATTTTCTATATTTACAAGTTTAAAATGAATTAAGGGAGAAAAAAATCTACTGGAAAAAAATTTCTGATTAATACGTTGACATATTGTAGAGGGCCCCGTGACGGAGTTAGGGTTCATAGGACGTAATGTACACGGATGTGATACGCGTTCTATTTATAGTAGTTTTGTATATACATGTACCCAATAACTGCATTTTTAAAAATAGTTATGAAAACAATGTTTAAGTTCATTACTAAGTGTAGCAAACAAAAAATAAATCAAAAAAATACTTCAGAGAGTAACCTGGCGAGTAGTAGGGGATACATAAACTCTACAAGGGACGAAAGCTCTAATCTTAGAAAAAAATACCCCCACCGACTTTGAACAGCATTTCCGGAATCTAAAGCATTAATTTATTTCGTTATCATGGTTCTATCCCCTACAGTGTTGATTTTCCTAAATGTTGATGTGTCTGTCAGTTGTTAACACGCGTTCAATCAGCAGAAAACGGATACAATTTCTTCGATTTGGAGGCTCATCTCTCTAAATCGACCTAGAAGGCGATTTTGTAAACTTCCGTTCCTTCCAGGTCGATTCTGAGAGATGAGCCTCATTGAGAGAAAATATATCAATGTTATACCAGTTATGTAGATACATATATTTGGGAAGGAAAGATAAAAAGTTGGCTGACGGACCTTCTACCTGTCTTCTCCTCGTTCTCGATGAGGGTAGATCAATTCACCAGTTTTTCGAAAGAAATATAACAAAAAAATGCTGTTTACTACTAAAATCTAAGTCCAGAATTTTTGTTTCATACATTTTTTTCAAAGTGCGCCAAGTGGTCAAAAATGTTGACATGTACATTGTACACTCTTAACTTCGAAAAAAATTCCAAAGTGCGTTGATTTTCTCCCAAATTTAACGCACTTTGAAAAAAAAAAATCAAAGTGCGTTAATTTTGTCCCAATTTTTAAGCACTTTGAAAAAATGTTTCAAAATGCCAAATTTTTTCAAAGTGTGTTGCCACATAGCTTCAAGTGTATATCCCCGAGTACCCAAACTCCGTCATCATAAAGGTGCTTACTGATTCCACATAAAATATAACAATGGATTAAGTGTAACTGTTATTTGTTTTTGAAGTTCTTGAACTTGACTGTTATAATATCTCAGCATTTGATTGTAGATTTCAACATGCAAAATAGGACGTCACAATCGCATTCGTTTACAAACAACGCAGAGTTTCCCGAAAGTGACGACGTCAGTTTGTGAATAAGTATTTAGAACAAAGTTCCTATTATTGAAAGGTATTATATAATGACAAACAAAACTTAGCAGAAAAATCTCTCAGTAAAAATTATTCAATAGTTAAAAAATGCTCTTTTCTTATAGTTTGAACCCAATCGATAACAATTATGAAAATCTTCTTTTTATTTTTTACTCAGAGAATAACACGAAAACAACTACACCGCACGACTCATAATAGGTGGTGACTCTGAAATCTTTTTGTATGCCCCGCCATGGATATGGCCGGGGCATATAGTATTTGTCCTGTCCATCTTCCGTTCTTCTGTCCTTCCGTCACACTTTTTATCAAACATCATTTGCTGATACATTTTTGTGAGTGATATTAAACTGCATCAAAATCTTTCGACCTTGACCTAATTTTACTAAAATTTGCATTTAGCTCAGTTTCAAAGAAACTGTTCAAGATATTTTTATGAAAGCTTATGCACAGATATATAATTTGGTGAGAATTCATCAACTGTGTCCATTTTTTTTACCTTGACTTTCAAGTGACCTTTGAATTGACTTTGCTAATTACTGTGTATAACACTCAGTTATAAAGAAACTATTCAAGATATATTAGATTTGAAACTTCATACACTAAATATAAATACAATTTTTATATTATAATTTCATGTAAATTAGACGAATCTGATTCGTCGAGAAACATTTGTTAAAAAAACACTATTACCCGCTGAATAATGAAGCCACGCCCTCCGGCATAGCAACAGTCAACATTGCTTGACGACGGGAGTTATTCCACAAAATATTAACTGCGCAGAATTTATGCGCGCAAGGTTCACTATAATATTTATTTGTATAAAACATTCAGTATAATATAATAAATGCTGCATGTAGTTGAGTGTAACATTGAAAATTTTCAACCCTCGAAAACCATTGTCAACCTCGGCTTCGCCTCGGTTGACAATGGTTTTCGAGGGGTGAAAATTTTCAATGTTACACTCAACTACATTCAGCATTTATATAATGTTGCAATTGTCATTTTTAATGAAATCTGGTGAAGCATTCGTGTCCTAAAGAAAGAAAGAAAGATAGAGAGGGGTACTCGAGAGGAAGATGAAAATGTGAAAAGTTTATGACAACGACAGACAACGGTCTTTCCTTTTTTCTGATCAGAAAAGCTCACTTGAGCCTCCGGCTAAAATAAGCTTAACAGATAATATACTTTTATGATCCTTACAGAAGGATGGGTTTGGTATTCCTCCATGATAGAAAAAACAAAACAAATAAATTTTCAGATTTCATTATGAATTTTCATTAGAATTTAACAACAAATATGAGCATCTCTGGGTTATTTTTAAAATCAAATTTCTCATTTTGAAATTGAAATAAACAAATGTCAATTGTTTACTGATTAACATTTTTCTTCGATCACTTCGAATTTTTAATATACTCAGATTTCTAAAAGATAATATTGCTAAATATCGATTCTCTGCAATTAGTTTCAATTCTGAGTAATTAAAAACATAAGCATAAATATCTTTTCGATTTTTCTTTATCACCGATCGCGAGTTTCTAATCAGTGAAATATTTCTTATGAATATTTTCTGAATTCAATTCACATATCCCGTAAGAACAAAGAATAATAAAAACATCAAAAGCTACATAAAAATAAAGGCTTAATGACGACGTCAAGAATGTTTAAGATATCTTAAAGGTGACTTTAAAAGGAAGATTAGGCAGTTGTTAATATACATTAATGTTGATTTCCATAAGGACAATGCATATAAAACAATAATATCTGAATAAATACATGTAATATGAATTATTGATTAAAGATTGTTTCAAGGTGACTTAAAGATTGTCAGATTTTCGTCAGGATACAATTGAATGATGGTTGTTATATTCATATTTTAACGTTTGGAATATTTTGCCTAAACGGAGGAATACCCTGGTAGATTGTTCTATGCTTGATAAGCCCCTGTTAGCAGTGGATTTTATAACTTTTGACTTTTTTAACGCTTTGATTTGGATTGTTTTCACTTCTCACGTTATAGGTAAATGAGTAGATATAAGAATATATATATATATATATATATATATATATATATATATATATATATATATATATATATATATATATATATATATATATATATATATATCTGTGTTACACACACCTAATTGAAAAATTATGTATGTCGAAATACAGCACAACGGATTCACTAAAAAGATTTTTACCGTTGTTTAACCAACACAATCTTTTTTCAGAAACTGAAAAAATAGATTTTGAGCCACATATACAGTTTAGGAATAAAAGTCCGGTTTTGGGATATACACATGTATACATATACATGTATACGACAGCTCACATACAGGCAGAGCACTCCAATGGATCAAGGAATTGGCGTACCGGAAGTCCCAGTGATAGCGCCGACAACTCTCGGCTGTTTAGAGCTGTTTTCACTATATCGGTGGCTGTTGCAATTGTTGCGTTTAATACGTTGGTTCTTCTTGCTGCTAGAAGAAACAGCAAGCTGAGAACCAATATTCATTACAATTTAGTCATATCCCTGGCGACAAGTGATCTTTTGCTGGGAATTTCTCTTTTACTCCGTGGAATTCTACAAATAGAAGAATATGGATATTGTTCAAACTTTAGTTCTTGTATTCTGTGTGCAGTGGTTGTTTTTCTGCTGCTCGTTTCATTACAGACGTCTTTTCTGCAGGTGTTTTACATTAGTTTAAATCGCTATCTTGTTCTTGCAGAGAGTACTTTAAATACGTTTTTATGGAATGGTAAACGCAGATATTTTGTTCTTGCAATTAGCTGGACCTCCGCT